TTTCTGTTTTGAGACAGACTCATGTCATGCAGCCCAGGTTGGCCTGAGACTTGAGGTGCTCTGGCTCAGCTTCCTTGAGTTCTGGGACTACAAGTGTCTATCACCACACCTGGAAGGATTCAGTTTACAAACGTGCCTATTTTATTATATAAGTATATATTAAGCATTGCTAAAGGGAAAAATATGTCTTCTTTGATGCAGTAAGTCAACCTAGAAATTGATCTTAAACAATAAAAATATATATTAATATTTATGTATAGTGATTTTTGGCAGTTTTTTTGTTTTAATTTTTAAATTTAAATTAGAAACAAGGTTGTTTCACATGTCAATCCCAGGTCCCTTTCCCTTTCCCTCCCCTCCTCCCATCAACTTCCCCAATACCCCCTCCTTTACCCAGGGGGGGTGAGGCCCTCCATGGGGGGGGTTGTCCATAGTCTGTCATTTCAACCAGCGCAGGGCCTAAGCATCTCTCATTGTGGGATGGGCACCCAAAGTCCATTTGTATACCAGGGATAAATACTGATCTACTACCCAAGGCCCCATAGATTGCCGAGGCCTCCTCACTGACACCCACATTCAGGGCGTCTTGATCAGTCCCATGCTGGATTCCCAGCCATCAGTCTGGGATTCAAGAGCTAATCCTTGTCAGGTCAGCTGTTTCTGGGGTTAAACCAGCCCAGTCTTAACCCTTTGCTCATCACTGGGTTCCTTGAGTTCAGCTCAGTGTTTAGCTGTGGGAGTCTGCTTCTGCTTCCATCAGTCATTGGATGAAGGTTCTGTTTCCCAGACTCTGTGGCTTCTTGGCAGTTTTAACTGTAATGATAAAAACTATTTTTATTATGTGTAACAATCAAAGATTACTCAATAAATCCTCATATTTTCCCATACTGTGTTTTTATAACATGGGAAATATTCATGATATAATTTAAAAGTGCAACATCGAAGTACTATGGATTAACAGTGACTCAGTATCTCTACTTCAAGATATATACCCGAGATTGAAAACAGATGCACCCTCAAAAGTTTGTATCCAAATGTTCACAGCACCATTATTCATGGTAGAGGGGAAGCTACTAAATGACTGTCACCCGGAGGATGGACAAAGTTCAGTTTACTCATTTTGGAGAATATTACTCAGCCATAGAAAAGAATGAAGTACTGAGAAATGGTTTGACATGGACAAATCTGGGAAACACTTGCTAACTGGAAGGTACCATATGTGCACCACCACACACACAATGTCACACGGGCACTGCCACACATGCAATGTCACACAGTGTCACACACGCAATGTCACACAGGCACCACCACACACACAATGTCACACACACAGTGTCACACAGGCACTGCCACACACACAATGTCACACAAGCATTGTCACACACACAGTGTCACACACACATTGTCACACACACAGTGTCACACAGGCACTGCCACACACACAATGTCACACAGGCACCACCACACATGCAATATCACACACACAGTGTCACACAGGCACTGTCACACACACAATGTCACAAGGCACCGCCACACACACAATGTCACACAAGCACTGTCACACACACAGTGTCACACAGTCACCACCACACACACATTGTCACACACACAGTGTCACACAGGCACTGCCACACACACAATGTCACACAGGCACCACCACACATGCAATGTCACACACACAGTGTCACACAGGCACTGTCACACACACAGTGTCACACAGGCACCACCACACACACAATGTCACACAGGCACTGCCACACGTACACCACCATGCAAGCAACATCACGCATGCAACGTCTCACACAGGTACCATCACACATTTCAGGACTGTGTATTTGATCGGTTAGAAGTAGGCAAATCCTTGTGGTTTCCAGCAGTAAGAAGAGGGAGGAGAGTATGACCACTCAACGTCACGGATTCCCTTTTGGGAGTGAAAATGCCCTGGAATTAGATGCTGTGACAGTTGTACAAGACCGTGAGTGTGCTAAATAAAGAGCACTGAATCTTACACCTTAAAAAAGATCGACAGATGCTGGGAATGGTGGCACACGCCTTTGATCCCGGCGCTCAGGAGGCAGAGACAGGAAGAGCTATGTGAGTTTGAAGTCAGCCTGGTGAACATAACCTGTTCCAGGACGGTCAGTCCTTCTCAAACAAACAAAAATCAAGCAGAAATAAATTACGTGATTTTATTTCATCTCCCCAGTGTCGAGGCTCCTGGCTTTTTAGGTGAGTCCCGAGGACCCAAACTCAGGTCCTTACAGTTATCAGTGGCAAGCATTTCATCAGCTGGGCCGTGTCCCAACCCCACTTCCTCCTTTCGAGGCAGAGCAGTCCTGGCGATTGAATGGAGGGTTCTTCTTTTTGAATGGAAGCACTAAAAGCGCCTTTGCCTGGCGCTTCTGTTTCTCCACTGGAAAGCTGAGGTGGTGTGTGTCTGTCTCACCGGATGGGGAAGAGGATGGCTAGACCAGACCTGGGAAGGGCTAAGAGATGGGAAGTTCGGAAAAACTAAAGACTGTTCAACAGCAGGAGGCGCCGGTTACTACAACTTAGATGGCGTAGACTGAACTTGTGTGCAGGATCCGAGCCTGGGGAGTGACCAAGTCTTGTCATACTTAACCTTGGAATTGGTGATATTTTTCGTAATTTAATAGGGTGTTGCTGGAATCCTGCTGCGGACCTTCTTGCTTTTTGTTTGACACTAGGTATCTTCATAGGTCATTTCCCATTATTGTTTTTTTCTTGTACAGGGAATTGAACCAAGGTAAGCGCTGTACCACTGAGTTTTATCACTAGTCCCTCCCACCTTGTTTTTTGAAACAGGGTGTCTTACTGAACTTGAAGCTCACCAACTGAGATAGACTGGCTGGCCATAAAGTCCCAAGGACACCCCGCCCCCCGCCCCCGTCTCTATCCTCACAGCTTTGGGAATACGGACTCTCACCATGTCTCACTTTCATGTGGGTGCTAGGGATCTGAACTCAGGTCCTCGTGCTTGCACAACAGGTACTTTACAGAGCTGTCTCCATGGCCCCTGCTTTACTCTGTTTTGTGTGGCTGCCCTTGGGAGGCTATTCTCTCAATAACTTTGCAGGAATAAAGGAAAGATATTGTTGTTTTTTGAGAACTGAACCTATGTTTTGGTTCTTGGGTGAGGTGACTAAGGCTAGGAGATTCTCAAGGCAAAGAAAAGGCAGGGAGCAACAGAAGGGCCACAAGGTTCCAGTGAGAGGGACCTAGGCTATCGAGAGGCAAGGTGGCCACACCGAGGAAGGGTCTGCCGTGCTCCCGGAGCGTTTGGCTTGCGTGGTTGTTACGGTGGTGTGCGTCTTTGGACACTAGAGCTCTGTTGTGCCCAGGGTGATGTGAGCCTTGTACATTTAAACCAGACTCCACCTTTTCAGGTTCATTGTGGGAAGTGGACGTTTGTGGACCTCCACTGTGTGATGGTTGAAGCCCTGCACATGCGCAGAAGTGCTACTGCGTAATATCTGCCTAGCGCCTCTTGTGGGTGGGGTTATAGCTGTTGTCTGTGCCTGTTGGAGAAGCAGGGAACATGTGTGTCCTTGGAATCAGATTATGTGCTTTAGCTTGGGGGAGAGATCCCACTACTACTATCGTCGTTGTTTCCTTTGTGATGTTACAAGCTGTTCTGGGAATTTGTCATTGTTTAATGGACAAAACAAGCAGTATCTGGAAATTCTCTCCTGCCCACTCAGATCCCCTAACTCACAGAACACTTAATGAAGATAAAGCTGAGGAGATTTTTGGCTACCTTGTTTCTTGATTGATTATTACTTTGTTTTAACTGCCCAGTTTGTTCTAACTGGAGCCCAAAACTTTGTGTTCCGTGGTATGCTAAGTAAAGGGGATACATGTGGTGATTTATGATTTATTAACGCTTGCCTGAGGATTCAGAAAGCAAAGTCAGTCACAAGCCATAGACGCCAGGCACACATCTTTAATCCCACCAACCAGAAGCTAGGAGTGGTACATACCTTTAATCCTAGGACTCAGGATTAAGAGGTAGACGGATCTCTGTGAGTCCAAGGCCACCCGGATCTAAACAAGAGTGAATCCATCTAAAAGAGAATTATATCTCACACCTTTAATCCCAGGACTCATGAGAGATATATAAGACAGGAGCCAGGTCTTAGCACACAGTGTTCATTCTCCAGCCACGCTGAGAATAGGAATGCCCCAGCCCTGTTAGAGGTCAGAGCTCTCTGGTCGCTTGGCTGCTTTGCTTGACTGATCTTCAGGTTGAACCCCAGTATTTGTCTCTGGGTCTTTTATTTTTCGTGTTACAGACTAAAGCACAGAAAAAAAATAATAGTAGTAATAGTAATAATAATAGACATTATCAAACACTCTGGAGAGCATGATTCTATCTGTGCTTTGAAACTTTACTAAATTATATATGCATATATCTATGTATTTATAGTTATCTATCCATATACCTATCTATTTTGGTAAATGGATGGAATTTTTATTTAATTTTTTTTTACTTGGAGTATGGTTGAGTTTTCATGGAGATTGTAGTTGTCCATAGCAAACCCCACATGTGGTAGATGAATATCAACCAACCCCTTCCCATTGCCTCTGTCCAGGAGTGAGAATAGAATGTACAAGGAGAGGGTGCCAGGGGGACCTTCATTTTTAATGTATTTCTGTACTGTTAACACAATAGTTTTCGTAACAAAAAGGGTGGTAACGTTATTCATTGCTGTCCCAGCTGCCCTCCACCGTGTTCTTAAGCACCTTACTGGCCAGAAAAAATTAACACAGAGAATATCAGATACTTGAGGCGAGGACAAATCCCAGATTGGATGGTGGCCCAGGGTTGGGGTGAGAAACAGCAGAGTGTGTTGGGGGAGGTCCAGAGGAGGGCTTAGGTCTTACTCTCAGCCAATAGTATAAGGGCTTCAGGCCCAACGCCCATTGGCTGAAACTATTTCAAGGGTCAGGTTTGTACCTGAACTCGTGGTCATAGGACTTGGTGGAGGCGTGTTCCTGAGTTCATAGGTTTGGTGCTTGGAGGCCGCTTTGCCCAGACGTGGAAGGTAAGTCCCAGGCCCTCTGAGCTGTGATGGTGATTGGGACATTTCTGATACTCTGACTTTTTCTGTTCAGGGTTGTGATGCTTATCTGACATGACTTCACTTTAACTTTCTCTCTCTCTCTTTCTCTCTCTCTCTCTCTCTCTCTCTCTCTCTCTCTCTCTCTCTCTCACCTTTTTCTGTAACAGTATCAGGGATTGAACCTAGACCCTGGCACTGCTAAGCAAGCACACCACCGCTGAGATATTACCTTAATTTTATAAGGTTTCTGAGACAGGGTCTTGCCAAGCTGCCCAGGCTGAAACACTGGGAAGACCCTTTGTTTGGGGTTCAGGATCTGTGGATAGATGGTCACCCACATACTTCGATTAAAACTTTCTTGTCGGCTTTTCTTGGTTTGATATAGAGCATGGGGATTAGGGTTGCTTACAGAAAAATCCCAATTATTCATAGCTGGAGAGATGCTCAGTAGGAAAACACCTGTTACCTGAGTATGCAGACTTGAGTTCAGATCTCTAGGACCCAGTAAAGTCAAGTGTGGCGGTGCCATCTATAGTCCCGGAACCCACAGTGAGATGAAGCAGGGATCCCGTCTCAGACAAGGTGTAAGGTGTGGATCGACGCCTGAGGCTTTCCTCTGACCTCCACGTGTTTCGGTGGCACGTGCTGGTCTTCACAGGAGCATGTGCACACACATGTACATACTCACACAAAAGACAAGAGGAAAACGCCCACCTGTAATAGATAAGTGTTCAATTAAATGCTTCCTGCTAATTCTGTAAAACGAGTTGCTACTTTATTTTCTATCTCAGGACATTCTTAAATCCCTCTGTTTGCAGCAAGGCTGCCTCACAAGTGAAAGCATGTAAGAGAGATAGAAAGATGTATCTGCAGAGTTCCCCCTCACTCCTGCTCCCCATCCCAAGGTGCACTGTTTTAGTCATCGCAGGGGTGTGTTTCTTTTCCCTGTAGGCTTTGCGAGCTATGGACTCCTACGTGATTCAGGCGAACGACAATGGCGGCCTGCCTTCAGTTCTGGATGTACACGTCAGTACTGGCGGGAGAAGCTCAGTGCAGGGGAAAATGAAGGGCAGGAAGGCCAGGTGGGATGTGAGGCCCTCTGACATGTCCAATAGAACTTTTAATCCCATCCGGGCCATCGTGGACAACATGAAGGTGAAGCCCAATCCAAACAAAACTGTGATTTCGCTGTCAATTGGTGAGTTTGGGCCACTTGATGGAGGGTTGGCTTTGGCCCCCACCTTCCGCCCTCTTGGGCTGGCTGGAGGAGATGAGAGATGACACCCAAACATGGGGATATAAACTCTAGGTGGCTCCTTTGCCTTTCTCTTCCATGAACAGGGGACCCTACCGTGTTTGGAAACCTGCCTACAGACCCTGAAGTTACCCAAGCCATGAAAGATGCCCTGGACTCTGGAAAGTACAATGGCTATGCCCCATCCATTGGTAAGCTTGCCCAGAGACAACCCTGGTGGCTTCAAAATCTATAGTGCTTTTTCGTGTTTTGTTGTGGTTTTGGTCATTGCTATGTAACACATTCTGACCTCAAACTAGTAGTCCTCCTGCCTTAACCTTTCAAGAGCTCAGATTATAGGCATGCACCTGGCTTTTAAACTTGTGTGTGTGTGTGTGTGTCTGTGTGAGTGTGTGTGTGTGTCTCACATGCAGAGAGACAGAGAGAGGGGAGAGAGAGAAAGAGATGGGAGAGAGAGAGAGAGAGAGAGAGAGAGAGAGAGAGAGAGAGAGAGAGAGAGAGAGAGAGAGAGAGCGCACCATGGTATGTGTGTCTCAGTCAGAGAACACCTGTGGGAATTAGTTTTCTATTTCCATCATATGTGTCCTGAGGATTGAACTCGGGTCGTCAGACTTGGCAGCAAGCACCTTTATCTACTGAGCCATCTCACTGGCCCTCTTTCATGACTTTTAAGTGGGACTCCATCTATAGTAATTGTCCTTGATTTCCTAATCTGTGGTTCTGAAGAGCCCAAGATGAAACAGCCCTTTAGATTTAGGGAAAGGGTCCCACTCTAGATTATTTTTAAAATTTTATTTAACTTCATTTTCTGCGCATTGGTGTGAAGGTGTCAGATCCCGCAGAACTGGAGTTATAGACAGTTTGTGGGTGCTGGGAACTGAACCTTGGTCCTCTAGAAGATCAGTCAGTGCTCTTAACTTCTGAGCCATCTCTCTACCCCCCCCCAATTCTGGATTCTTAAACATAGCTATTGGGGTCTAATTTCATGAGGTGCCCCAACACAATTATTCCTCAAACAGTTCTGTCCGTCTTTACCACAGACCCCCGAGCCTAGCTAGCACTCAGTTCTTGAGGCTATACATTTATTTATACTCTGCCCCATGGAAATAGCGCCTTTATTTCACTATGGTTTGAAGCCTTGATCTCTTTGAAACCCATTTTTAAGTGTGTAAGGGGAACATAACAAAAATGGCTGTTACATTGGGGACAGAAGTTACTCCTGAGAACAAGACTCCACCTGTCAAAATGTCTCTCCTAAACATAAATAAGTAAAATAAGTAATTCCTTGGCTTTATTTTCATGTTGTGTATCTTTCCCTGGGTGTTGTATATATTGAGGCATTCTCAATGCAGAATGAGAAAGCAACAACCTAGTTTCATACTAATATCAGATCCAAAAGCTTTTCCAAGAGGAATCAGGGAAATGGCTTTTATTATTATTATTATTACCACCGATACGGTTTCTCTGTGCAGCTCTGACAGTCACAGAACTCTCTCTGTAGACCAGGCTGGCCTTTAACTCACAGAGATCTGCTTGCCTCTTTCTCTCCTGAGTGCTGGGATTAAAGGTGTGCGCCACCACTGCCCAGCTGGGACATGCTTCAAGGTGGATTACTTACATATTAGAAAGCTTCGTAGAACAACAATCAAATTCAAGACTCAAAATTAGGTCACAAAAATACTATAATGGAGGCTAGGGAGATGTCTTGGTGAGTAAAAATGTTTGCTGCCAAGCCTGATGATCTGAGTTCAATCTCTGGGACCCACATAGTAGAAGGAGAGAAATGACTCCACAGAGTTGTCTTCTGACTCCACACACGAGCTGTGGATATGTGCACACCCCCACAAACACACAAATAATTTCATTATTCAAAGTATCAGGGAACTAACTGAGTTTGGAGACTGGAGTCAAACCTTCATCTGAGCTGTTGCACAGTAAAGAGAGGAGGTGTTGGTGGTCTCTAGGAGTACTTTCTTCCTCATTAATAAAGTAGGAAATGTCAATCAACGTCACTTGAAAGAATCATTTGCTTATCTTAAATTAAAGAAGGTGAATATGGTTGTGTCCTTGCTAACTTGTGTCCTGGAAGGCAATTTTGTAAAACATTATAATGGATTTGAAACTGGCAATAATTCAAGCCTGTGTGGTATGTTGAGAATCCTCTGGAAGAAGAGAACCCACATACAAAGATACTATATTATATAAGATAAAACCATGAAAGTGAATCTTATGCATCGAAGCTGTTGATAGCATTTCAAACAACAGACTATATAAAGGCACTTCGGAATAATTTAAATCCTCATTTAAAGCAGCATAAATTATTCAGAGTAGTCAAGATTATTCAGTGCACTTTATGGTTTGGGGAGCTGATTCCTGTCATCGTCATACATTTGCACTTTTAATAAAACTGCCATGTATAAAGTTAATTTCCTTCACATATGGGGACTGGGCTACACAGAATGAATTGGCCCTAAGCAAGGACAGAAGGCAGCTGGAAGCTTGGGGCAAGACTGTCAACCAAGGGATGAAAATCTGCTTCCTCTCCTGTCTTGTCTCAGGTTACCTATCCAGCCGGGAGGAGGTCGCTTCCTATTACCACTGTGCCGAGGCTCCCCTGGAAGCTAAGGTGAGCCAGGGTGCTAGCTCAGAGGCCACCAAGAGCAAGCAGACTCCTTGCTTCTATCCCACGGGAGTGGTGGTCTGAGGGGAGCTGAGGAGAACCATCCTTTAGCAAGTGGAGGACTTCTTATACAGTTAGATCACTAATCAGTAATTGTGATTAATGTCACTACAGTGTAAGAGGTGTCTCCTACCACTTACATAGTGTTGTCACAGAGTCCCAAAGGACCCCCCAAATCATCCTAGATTTGATTTTCTCCAAAAGATAATTGATAAGGTATTCACAAATACCAAATAATTTAATTTAAAAATTTATCATTAGGATGTGTGTAAGCATAAATCTTCCTTTACTCACTTTAGGGCACTGAGACAGGACACTAGGGGTCTCAGGGCATACTGACTGTGTGTCAGTGCCAGCTTTAGCGGCTGCCCTCCCCTCTTATCGCCTACGTCCTCATCAAAGAGGTGTCTTTCATTTGTGTTCACAGAAACATCAGACTTCAAATCTGAGGTCAAAAGTAAATAAATAACCTGGTGAAAAATAGTTCAAGGTCAATCGAAGATCTCCCTTGAGAGTTGGTTTAATCATAACCAGCTTGTTCTTTCTAAAGTGATTTGTTTATTTTTCTTAAGTGGCCATCATTTTCAACAACATTTAGAGATAGATGCCAGATGGGTAGTAGAAAGATAGACACAAACATAGATGATAGATAGACAGTGGATAGATATGATAGATGATAGGAAGATAGATAATAGATAGATAGATAGATAGATAGATAGATAGATAGATAGATAGATAGATTTGGGTTGGGCTCAGGACAACCCTTCATATTTCCTTGGTCCTTACTGAAATAATTTCATGTTTGCTTCCAACTCACCGACACCGACCCTTCTCCTTTCTTTACAGGATGTCATTCTGACAAGTGGCTGCAGCCAGGCTATTGAGCTCTGTTTAGCTGTGTTGGCCAATCCAGGACAAAACATCCTTGTTCCAAGACCGGGGTTTTCCCTCTATAGGACTTTGGCTGAATCTATGGGAATTGAGGTCAAGCTCTACAATCTATTGGTAATTGACTTTTGCTTTTTTAAAAAAATGTCTATTTTAGCTTGTATGTATGAGTATTTTGTCTGTGTACCACACGTGTGCCTGCCAGAAGAGGGTATTAAAGCCTCTGGAACTGAAGTTACAAATGGTTGTAAGCCATCATGTCGGTGCTGGGAAATGAACCTGGGTCCTTTGCAAGAACATCAAGTACTCTTAACACCTGAGCCATCTCCCTAAGCTCTGACTTTTAATCTTAGACTCAAGTGCTTTGTTACCACCCTGTGAAAAAGAAATGATCACTGTCATACAGAGAGAGAATGGGGCCAAAGGCAGATTTTATTCTTTAAAGAAATGATCACTGTCATACAGAGAGAGAATGGTCTGCAGGGGAGGTTAGGGGCCAAAGGCAGATTTTATTCTTTAAAGAAATGATCACTGTCATACAGAGAGAGAATGGGGCCAAAGGCAGATTTTATTCTTTAAAGAAATGATCACTGTCATACAGAGAGAGAATGGGGCCAAAGGCAGATTTTATTCTTTAAAGAAATGATCACTGTCATACAGAGAGAGAATGGGGCCAAAGGCAGATTTTATTCTTTAAAGAAATGATCACTGTCATACAGAGAGAGAATGGGGCCAAAGGCAGATTTTATTCTTTAAAGAAATGATCACTGTCATACAGAGAGAGAATGGGGCCAAAGGCAGATTTTATTCTTTAAAGAAATGATCACTGTCATACAGAGAGAGAATGGGGCCAAAGGCAGATTTTATTCTTTAAAGAAATGATCACTGTCATACAGAGAGAGAATGGGGCCAAAGGCAGATTTTATTCTTTAAAGAAATGATCACTGTCATACAGAGAGAGAATGGGGCCAAAGGCAGATTTTATTCTTTAAAGAAATGATCACTGTCATACAGAGAGAGAATGGGGCCAAAGGCAGATTTTATTCTTTAAAGAAATGATCACTGTCATACAGAGAGAGAATGGGGCCAAAGGCAGATTTTATTCTTTAAAGAAATGATCACTGTCATACAGAGAGAGAATGGGGCCAAAGGCAGATTTTATTCTTTAAAGAAATGATCACTGTCATACAGAGAGAGAATGGGGCCAAAGGCAGATTTTATTCTTTAAAGAAATGATCACTGTCATACAGAGAGAGAATGGGGCCAAAGGCAGATTTTATTCTTTAAAGAAATGATCACTGTCATACAGAGAGAGAATGGGGCCAAAGGCAGATTTTATTCTTTAAAGAAATGATCACTGTCATACAGAGAGAGAATGGGGCCAAAGGCAGATTTTATTCTTTAAAGAAATGATCACTGTCATACAGAGAGAGAATGGGGCCAAAGGCAGATTTTATTCTTTAAAGAAATGATCACTGTCATACAGAGAGAGAATGGGGCCAAAGGCAGATTTTATTCTTTAAAGAAATGATCACTGTCATACAGAGAGAGAATGGGGCCAAAGGCAGATTTTATTCTTTAAAGAAATGATCACTGTCATACAGAGAGAGAATGGGGCCAAAGGCAGATTTTATTCTTTAAAGAAATGATCACTGTCATACAGAGAGAGAATGGGGCCAAAGGCAGATTTTATTCTTTAAAGAAATGATCACTGTCATACAGAGAGAGAATGGGGCCAAAGGCAGATTTTATTCTTTAAAGAAATGATCACTGTCATACAGAGAGAGAATGGGGCCAAAGGCAGATTTTATTCTTTAAAGAAATGATCACTGTCATACAGAGAGAGAATGGGGCCAAAGGCAGATTTTATTCTTTAAAGAAATGATCACTGTCATACAGAGAGAGAATGGGGCCAAAGGCAGATTTTATTCTTTAAAGAAATGATCACTGTCATACAGAGAGAGAATGGGGCCAAAGGCAGATTTTATTCTTTAAAGAAATGATCACTGTCATACAGAGAGAGAATGGGGCCAAAGGCAGATTTTATTCTTTAAAGAAATGATCACTGTCATACAGAGAGAGAATGGGGCCAAAGGCAGATTTTATTCTTTAAAGAAATGATCACTGTCATACAGAGAGAGAATGGGGCCAAAGGCAGATTTTATTCTTTAAAGAAATGATCACTGTCATACAGAGAGAGAATGGGGCCAAAGGCAGATTTTATTCTTTAAAGAAATGATCACTGTCATACAGAGAGAGAATGGGGCCAAAGGCAGATTTTATTCTTTAAAGAAATGATCACTGTCATACAGAGAGAGAATGGGGCCAAAGGCAGATTTTATTCTTTAAAGAAATGATCACTGTCATACAGAGAGAGAATGGGGCCAAAGGCAGATTTTATTCTTTAAAGAAATGATCACTGTCATACAGAGAGAGAATGGGGCCAAAGGCAGATTTTATTCTTTAAAGAAATGATCACTGTCATACAGAGAGAGAATGGGGCCAAAGGCAGATTTTATTCTTTAAAGAAATGATCACTGTCATACAGAGAGAGAATGGGGCCAAAGGCAGATTTTATTCTTTAAAGAAATGATCACTGTCATACAGAGAGAGAATGGGGCCAAAGGCAGATTTTATTCTTTAAAGAAATTGTATTTATAGCCGGGCGGCGGTGGTGCACGCCTTTAATCCCAGCACTCGGGAGGCAGAGGCAGGCGGATCTCTGTGAGTTCGAGGCCAGGCTGGACCGACAGCCTCCGAAACAATACAGAGAAACCCTGTCATGTTATTTATTTTGTATGTATGTTTGTGTGCATGCATGGGGCAGTGAATTTACTGTGTGCAAGCCATGGCACACATGTGAAGGTGTAAAGACACATTTCAGGGTTGTTTTCTCTCCTTCCATCATGTGGTGCACAGGGATGGAACTCAGGTTATCAGGTTTGGTGGCAAAAGCCTTTACCGGCTGAGCCATTTCACTGGCCTCTTACTTTATTCTTTACACTAAATCCTTAGGTTAAGTACTTCCCCCAAATTGTTCAGAAACATCTTAGTCTCACTCTTTCTCCTTTTCCAGCCTGAGAAGTCTTGGGAAATTGACCTAAAGCAAATGGAATCTCTGATTGATGAAAAAACAGCTTGTCTCATTGTCAACAACCCGTCAAACCCCTGTGGTTCTGTGTTCAGTAAGAGGCACCTTCAGAAGATCCTGGCAGGTAGGTACCAAAGGCCCCTACACAGGGGAGGACTTGAGGGCAGAGTCCCTCAGTCCTGCGCCTGTGATGGAGGTGGAGAAATGCCAGCCTCTAGTCATGGACCCCCAGGGCTAGTCCAAAAGAGGTGGGATATGAGAAATACAAGCTGCACATCCCTATTTTTAAAATGGCAAGAATTCCATTTTGGTGCATTTTGTATTTTCAGATTAGAAATGTTCAAATGGCAAGTATGTATAGATAACCCTAAACCTCCCCCTTTTAAAGCCCCAAACAACAAACAAAACACCCCAACAAAGTATAGCAATAAAATACTCAAATCTAAAATACCCCCTATTCTATGCATTTTGGTTAAGAGGTATTTTCATCCATATTGGCCTATCATCACTGCTGTCATGGAAGGCAGAGTCTGAGACTTGTGGTTAAATGACACATCTAGGCTAACATCCTGGAAGGTCAGATGGATTTAGTTCCTAAGAGGATGGATGGGTTAGCCCATGAGCACAGAATACAGATCACAGAAGACTAGGTATGCAGGAAACGACATGGTTGTTCAAACTGAACATGATTCCAGCCTGGTTTTTGTTATTTTCAGTGGCTGAAAGGCAATGTGTCCCCATCTTAGCTGATGAGATCTATGGTGACATGGTAAGTATGGCGAGGGTTACGACACTATAGGAGTGTCAGTACCGTATTGTTTTATGGGGCATCTAGAATTGGCTAGTGGAATCGTTGGAGCAATTGGTCATAATGTATAGTCTTCTCAAGAAGTATGTCTCTAGTCTTTTGTTTGCTTGTTTGTTTGTTTTTTTGTTTTTCAAGGCAGGGTTTCTCTGTGTAGCTTTGGAGCCTGTCCTGGCACTCACTCTGTAGACCAGGCTGGCCTGGAACTATCTCATAGAGATCCGCCTGCCTCTGCCTCCTGAGTGCTGGGCTCAAAGGCTTGCACCACCACCACCTAGCTGTCTCCTTAGTTTTTTATTTATTTGTTTATTTAATTCAAAGAGCCAGGAAATCCAAAAGTTCTTGGAATTTACTTGAACTCAGATGCCAAGTTGATAGGATATAAAGGCATTTCTAGATTTTTTTTGTTTATGACTAATAGATGTACTTTTAAGAGTTTGTGGAGGGTCCTCAAAATGTAGCTCACTGGTTGAGTACATGCTTATCTAGCATGCCTGAGCTGGGTCCAACTCCAAGGATCAGGGATAAGAAAAAGAAAGGTACAAATGGAGAGGAAGGGCTGTCAATATTACTGTTTGGGGAAGTATTGTTCTAGACTTCCTTGGAAATATCACACATGACATATGTGTGCACATGACATATGTGCAGTGTAGCCTTTCAACCCCTCCAAAAGTCTGAGTTCTGCATCACAGTTGGGCCCAGGAGTGTTGGACACTGGACTGTAGACCCACGTTAAATCTGTAACTCCACCAGTCATAATTCCACAGTGCCAGTGTTCAGAAGCTGTACATACTCTTAGTCCAGCATCACTGTCCTCATTTTAGGTTTCCTTTAATCCAGACTGCACACCAAATTAAATGTCTTTGGATAAGTTTTCCTGAACCATGTGGGGTCCAGTGATGCCTGAGGGTGGGAAGGGGCCTGTCAATCCATTGCTCTTTCCTTCCGCATCTAAGGAGAGGAGTGGGAGGCAAAGGATCCAGAGCGTTTAAGAGTTCCTCTCTTCCTCAGGTGTTTTCAGATCACAAATATGAACCACTCGCCACCCTCAGTACCAATGTCCCCATACTGTCCTGTGGTGGGCTGGCCAAGCGCTGGCTGGTTCCTGGTTGGCGGATGGGCTGGATCCTTATCCATGATCGGAGAGACATTTTTGGCAACCAGGTGAGAGCAATATGGTAAAATGGTGTGAATAATTTAATATACATATTTGGTTTGAATACTCAGTGTTGCGGAGGTAGGGTTTCCTTCCCCTCATGATGTATTGTTTGCCTGGAAACATGATGCATGAAGATGTGGTAGATATTCCTCATCCAAACCCCAGTGTTCACATGCTTGGGTCTCTGGGTCTGTGAAGAAATTTCATCCACCTCCAATTTAAGGCTATAAAAGGGCAAACAATCACGGTAATGACAGCACTATTACTCATGTTTTATGAATCCTACTTTTATTTTATTTCATACACCCTATGAGGCCATTTTACAGTCAAGATAAGCAGGGTTCAGAGAGATTACATCATCTTCCTGCAGTCACACACAGGTTGTGATGGATAAGGGCTCCAGACTCAGGTGTAACAGGGTCACTAGGTGCCATCATGTCCTGAGACTAAAACATGACTGAAAGGTCAGAATAGAGCCACAGCACAGGAATGCTTTAGGAAGGCTAAACAATTTGTTTCCTGGGGGATTCTAGATTCGGGATGGGTTGGTGAAGCTGAGTCAGCGGATCCTGGGACCATGCACCATTGTCCAAGGAGCTCTGAAGAGCATCCTTCATCGTACCCCTCAAGAGTTCTACCACGAGACGTTAAGCTTCCTTAAGGTAAAGGGGAGCGTGAGCCTTCCAGAGAGCACATCAGTGGAATTAGGAATAATTATCCCTAATTTCTGGAGCACTGTTCCAATGAGGGGCTTCCGAATCAGAAGGCGGCATCAATGTCATGTTCCATAGGCACTTCCCTTTCACTTCCTGCAATCCACTTGGTCTCGCTAAGAACTTCAGGTGATGGGGTTTGCTCTTGTTACCTCTTTGTGCTATAATGGTAAGCCTAGGCTTGCGGCCTTCTGAAGGCTCTACCTTCAATGATGTTTTCCTTCTTTTTTAAAAAGTAGCTTTATTATACAAAATGTTACAAATAAAAATCATGTTTTTCTTTTACCTAAATTTGATCCTTGATTTTCTTTTCTCTTTCTCTGTCTCTTCTTGTAGTCCAATGCAGATCTCTGCTATGGGGCATTGGCTGCCATTCCTGGACTCCAGCCAGTTCACCCTTCTGGAGCCATGTACCTTATGGTAAGTGTGTGTGTGTGTGTGTATGTGTGTGTGTGTGTGTGTGTGTGTGTGTAGTGATAAAACACAGGAGACTGGCTTGGCAGGATCATCCTGGGTGGTCATACAGGGCTTGCATCCATCTACAAAGACAATGAGTTAGGCCCCAGTCACCATCATTGAAGAAGTGACTTGATAGGAATGATTTCAGTGCTTTGATTTAACCTGTGTTCACAAGACTCTGTCAATAACCTCGTTCTCAGCACATTCACTCATCTTGTACACAGATACAGGGGCTTGCTTTGTGTCATGACTGAGAGTGATGTCGTTCCTTCGGAGGGAGGGGGGTTTTGTCTTTAGGCTCACTATTGCCATTTATAGCCTAGGGGTGCTAAATGTCCTGCAGTTGATGGGGTACACCCTACAAAGTAAAAAGTGACCTGGTCCAAATGCTAACTTTACCTCATTTATCATTAGCCATGGAGGAACCCTCCAATAAACTACAGTATGAACAAAAGCATGTCCTCTCCTCCCTCCTGGGAGCTCTCGAGTTCCCTAGTGTTGGTTCTCTTCGCTATGGGTAGGAGGGTTCCCAGACGTTTTCAAGGAGTCCCTGCTCTTGTTTCTGGCATAGGAAACTGGCCTGTGTTCCTCCTGTGACATGCTGGCCTCTCTTTTATCATTGGTTCAGGTTGGAATTGAGATAGACCATTTCCCAGAATTTGAGAATGATGTGGAGTTCACAGAGCGGTTAGTTGCGGAGCAGTCTGTCCACTGCCTCCCAGCGACGGTGAGTGCTGGTGTCTCTAGACATCCAAACAGCTCCTGGAGACCCCAGATATCTTCCTGAGCTGGGGTTTAACCTAGCCTAATGGTAAGCATTCTCAACTGATAAGATTACAACTGATGTGCTTTATGCCTTCCACCTAAAATCAGTTTCTCCGCCATCACTCTTCCCCCTCCCTCTAGTAACAGGAAGAAAAGTTGGGAACACTATGGTGAGTGGGAGGACAGCAGTCTATTTTAAGATGGATTAACTCAGTTGCTGACTCAGCACACCAGGGATGGGGCGTGGAACAAACTGACCCCCTGGTGGAATGGCATTACCCTGTCTTGCAGACTAGAGGTCTGGCTATGCTAGGGTGAACCGGTATCAGATTTAGTTGTCCTGGAGATAACAAGTCCTTGTTTTTGCAGTGCTTCGAGTACCCAAATTTCTTCCGAGTTGTCATCACGGTCCCCAAGGTGATGATGCTGGAGGCTTGTAGCCGGATCCAGGAGTTCTGTGAACAGTACTACCACTGTGCTGAAGGCAGCCAGGAGGAGTGTGACAAATAGGTCCTCATACCTCCTCCTGAAGACATGTCCCATCCAAAGAGGGGTGAACTGGGCTGGCCCTCTTCAAGGAGTCAGATGTCTCTTCTGGGAGAGGAACCTCAAAAGCACTGCATCAAGAATGGAGGATTATTTCTACCTTCCCCAGTTACATCCAGCGCACGCCCGGAACCCCAGATCCTCCCCTCACTCGACTCTGCAGGAGTGACTCATGAGCTCATTACACACATCCCTGACATCTAACTTCCTTATCCTGAGAGCACCGGGCGGACAGTTTGACAGAAAGAAGCTGGGACAAGAAAAGTGAGCGCTCAGGACAGGAGAAGCAGAAGGCAGAGGGCTTCCACCCCTGTTTCTGGTTTCTGCATGCTGTCATAGGAGCACCCTCTCCAGTCAGGTCCCAAGTCACCCCTGTCCCTGCCTCACTTCAGGCATACCTCACTCTCTGCCATAGAGCTACGCCGGAAAGAAGTTAGGACATGTGGGTTTGGTTAGTTGTATTCTAAACATATTAGGAAACCTGTTATTTAAAGGATCCTTGATAGGTTTTTTTTTGGTAAAGAATTATTTTGCGGTGGAAATAAGCACCAGCTTCCTAACTGGTCAGCTTCCTAAGTTTAGGTTCACTTGCATCGGGTTTTCTCATTGTGGGAGAAGGAGGAGTGGGAGCCCCTTCTGGAGCCATTGCTGTGCTCAGGCCGGGGCCCTGCTCAGACCCTCCTAGGAGAGTCATCGCCACGTCTGCCCTCATGTGAATATTGAGTTATTAGTATTTGTTAATATTACCTTTTCATATGTTTTCTAAGAAACATTTATATTATTAGAACTTTTATTTTGTCAAGGGCATAAATTATTATTTTCTTTTTTAGAATAAATTTTATCATGTGTGCACCACCGTGTGGTGTATTTTCTCTGGGAGGTTTTCCATCCCAAGTCTCAGTCCAGTCCTTCACCCGCTAGGTCTCTTCTTTCCTCATTGCTGTAACAGAGCACCTGACCAAAGCCACTGAAGGAGCGGAGGGCTTATTCCAGGGAATGCAGTCTGTCCTGGTGCTGGGCAGTGCGGGGGGGGGGGGGCTGTTGGTAAGAGGAATGCTTGCTGTTTTCCTCAGTGTCTCTGTTAGAGAAGGGAGGGGGAAATCTTGCACGGTGGGCCTGGGTAGTGTTAGACCGTCACAGTCTGGAGATAGCTTACAAGGCAAGTGTCTTAATTAGTAGAGAGACTTAAATCAGACAGTGGTGGTGCACGCCTTTAATCCCAGCACTTGGGAGGCAGAGGCAGGCGGATCTCTGTGAGTTCAAGGCCAGCCTGGTCTACAGAGTTGCAGAGAAACCCTGTCTTGAAAAATCAAAAAGAAAAAAAAAGAAAGAGGGATTTATGACCTCAACCCTGCAAGTCACACCCAAAAGGATTATATTTACAAAAAATAAGCACCAAACGGCCATTCTGACCTACGTTTCAGTTCAGTGAATCCCCAGAAAAATTCTTTCTTCATTTTCCCTATCAAACCCATGGTGAAGGAAAGTACAATGATGGAAATGTTAAACACATTTTCTTCCTGCATGCCACCACTGTGGACATCTTCCAAAAATGTCTGGCTCCTCTTTTCCTGTCTCCTGTCCCCAAGGAAATAAACAGGAAGACGGTGCTTTACAGATGTTTAGCTTGCCCTGCACAGACATCTCCACCTGGCACCACTAACAGAACTCTGCCCAGACCCGGTAATTCCACAGTTTTTTTGGTGCCTACATTTTGGTAAATGAGTCAGATGAACAGTGAGACATCTTGAGGGAGAAATGACTGGGGATGTTGCTCAGTGGAACAGCACTTGGTGAGTAGGTGCAAGACCCTGGGCTCATCCCTACCTTATGGTGGGTTAGGAAAAGTGTGGGGTCGGAGGAAAGTGGAGGTGGGTGGTGAGAGATGTAGGCACTGGGCAAATGTTAAACGGCACACACAAACATCCGGTACTTCATACAAAGGTTCTGTCCCTCAGTCACCCGGCTCTCCTCCGGTAAGGAAAAGAATATTTAGTGGTCCACATTGAAGATTAGTCTGAGCAGATGTGAGTGGCTGTGTGTGCACAGGTAGGCACAACTTCCCCTTTAAAAACCAAATGACTTAACTTTACAGCTCTGAGCCCTATCTGGTATATCCGAAGTGTTCCACAAGTCCTGAATATCTCTAAAAATCCTTCCCATCCCCAAGCTTAACATTCCGGAAAAATGCTTTTCTACCTAGCAGTGTCCAAGAGTCTCCGAATAACACAATCTGGGTAGGAAGGTGGGGGACAAGGCTACAAGCTATAGAGTCACTTCTCCATGTCTGAGCACAGCTTACCAGTTTACAGGTCCACACCAGGATTAGGTGACTCCAAACTTTACCCTAGTTCTCAACTCTCCAGCCTGGAAAACCAAGACAACTGCATAGGCACAGATGAACGGCCCCATGGGGTGGGTCTAAGGGCCACGAGGGGTGCTTGTGAGCAAACTTTGAAGATAGCTCTGATTTCCTCCATTTTGTTTACACCTTCAGTTTGAACTTGACCCCCACCCCTGCTCAATGTGAGATTCACTTCCTCTTGTAAGCCTTCAGGTTCCAAGAATTTAACATGTCATCCCTGGGCATCGTAAACGCTGGTAAGAGTTCCCAGTTCCAGGCAAGTCCCACCAGATATGGAGCAGAGTGTAAGGTTGACTGATGTCAAAAGTACAGCCCTTTGGAACATTTCTTCAAAGAATCATGCCCTTCACTGCCATACGTGTCTGCTGCTGGAAAAATGAACCCACTCCAGCAGGCTTGTCAGAGATGAAAGCGAGCACAGTCAAGCGACAAGGGCAGATCACCAATGTGTGGTTGTAATTGGGAAACAACCAGCATGAAGTAAAAGGAACTTTAATTTTTACAGACGTGGTAGTGAAGGGAACAGGTTGGGCCCAATAAAAGGGAGGCTTCCACAGGATCAGGAAGACGAAAAATTAGGGAGAAGAGGAAGAGGAGGAGGAGGAGGAGAAGAAGACGAAAAAGTTGGAACATGTAAAATGCACCTGGGGTGTTGTTAAATGACACATGGGGAAGTGTTGGTCTCCGTGTTTCTGGTGGAGGCTGGGAGATAGGGAGTCTGTGGTTAGACATCGTCTGGAGCAAACAGTCAATTCTCTGAGTATCCTTGAGTTTCTCAGCAGCCACTTTAATACCTGGAGCATCCTAGGGAGGTAATTTTGGGTTGCTAAAAACTGTTCCTGCTTGGTTCAAGTCCTGCTGAAGCTATTAATAGTTGAGAGAGGGCTCAGAGAATCCTGGCTAGAGTTTGGTCAAGGAAAGACTGTCAACTCCATGTCCTCCAGATACTACTATGGACTGATTGTAAGTACCCTAAAGTTGAATGGTCTCATGATGAACTCTGCTTTAAGCAATCTAAATATGCTTGCAAACACATCTGTAAGGGTGTGATGGGTAGACTAGAACCTCTGCTCAGGCCCACACACCTGCAGCAACCTCCTTGCCCTCAATTCCAGATACATTACTAATGGGGGATGTCCTTCTGTATATATGTTTCTCTTATTGGTTGATGAATAAAACACTGATTGGCCAGTAGCCAGGCAGGCAGCATAGGTGGGGCTACCAGACGTGGAGAATGCTGGGGAGAGGAGGCAGAGAAGAGTTGCCAGAGAGAGACATCATGTAGAGGCAGAAAGAGTAACATACTGGGGCATTATCGGGTAAGACAAGAGCACATAGGAATACTTAGATTAATAGAATTGGGTTAATAATTGAGAGAGAGCTATCAGTAAGAAACCCTAGCCATTGGCCAAACAGTTTATAAATTAATATACATCTTTGTGTATTTATTTGAGGCTAATTGGCTTTGGGACCAGACTGAACAGAAACCTCAATCAACTCCTTACTGACATAAGATCTCTAAGTTCTTACTGAACAGATAAGCCCAATGCCAGGATGCCTTACCCAGGAAGTGAGTTAAATCAAAGAGAGTACTGACTTGTGGGACACGTCCTACCCATGGGCAGGGACTGGAAGAATTAATACTAAAATGTTCATAGAATCAAAAGGGAGCTACAGTTTCACAGTAATCCTCATTCAGATCACAGGGACTTGTTTTTGTATAAATAGCACCCAATTCTCCTCTTAAAACGTTCATACAAATGTGCAGAGCAGCACTATAGCCAAAAGAAGGGGAACAACTCAAATGTTCATTGATGGAATCACAATAAAACAATATAACAGAATAGAATTTAAAAGTACAAAGGGAAACTGAAGAGATGGCCTAGCAGTTAAGAGCAGTGGCCTAGCACCACATGGCGGCTGGCAACCACCTGTGATTTCAGAGGATCTGACACCTTCTACTCATGCAAAAAGACTTGTACATATCATAAAACAATGGAAATAAGTCTTAGAAATTTCAAAGTAGAAAAGGAATAAAGTAGTGATACATGCTACATCATTGTTATGTTGGGTCAAGTAAAAGATGATAATCAAAAATATTACCTGTTGTGTGATTCCATTGATATGAAATGCCTAAATAGGCAAACTCATAGAGACTGAAGAATGATTGTCTGGCTGCCTACGGCTGGGAGTGAGGGTCAGAGTGGGAGATGGAAAGCTTTTGCCAATGGAAGCAGACCTTGTACTGGGTGAAGGGTATTCTCTAAGTTGATCATGGTATTGTCCGCACAACCCTTAAAACACTGAAACACCCCAATCATACATCATTAGGTGAATTATGCCGTTCAGGGGTCAAAAAAGTCAGAGGGCAGCAAGAGCTCTAAAAGGTCAACTCAAATATGTGTTAGCATTTAAAGGAAGCTCAGCATTGTTTTTGATTAGCTCTGTTATGAGACAAGGTCTTCCTGTGTCCTTCAGGCTGGCCTTGAACCTACAATCCTCTTGATGCTGTATTTACAGTTGTGCACTACCATGCCCGATAGAAATTCCAAAAGTTTAAAAGAAAAAAAAAACTGCAAGGTTATCGTTTACACATCTGCTCACAATGGAAATTAGTTTTCTCATGAAAGTGTGATATTATTTCAGACTTTAGCTTTCTGAAATGGAAAACACTGGTTCTTTCTTAGGAAAAAATACATGTATTTTATGTGTGTGCATGGTGGGCACAGATGCCACCGTGCAAGTCAGAAGACACTTATAGGACTCTGCTCTTTCCTTTCACCAAGTGACATGGTAACAGGTACTTGAGGTATGGTTGCAAGTACTCTTACTTGCTAAGCCATCTCAGAGGCCTAATGACAATTTTTTTTAACCAAGGAGGCCATATTTACAGAAATTAGATTAGGAAGAACTGGATGAGATGACTTTATCATTATTGGTTAATCTCAGGGTACAAAGGGCTTATTTTTTTCCTGACTCTGGCATTTCATAATGGAAGCAGGGCAAATGTCAACTGGACTTCAACACTGGGAAGCCGTCTCATTAGACAGTTTTAGAAAAACAGCTGGTATTGCTATAATAACAGAATTAGTATGTATGCTAGATGAGTTCATTGTTTTCTGAAATGACCTTGAATTATTTACTATGAAACATACATCAAACTATAGACAAGTATATAATCCACACTAATGTGTATCCCTCATTTAATGACTGTTAGTATTTTACCATATTGGTCCTTTTTTTTTCTTGTTTTCTTTGCTAAGAAATTACAAAGCAAATCCTAGACATCACATTTCCCTCTAAACACTTCAGCAAAGTATTATTTACTTGAAGTATTATGAAGTATTACCTATGAAGTATTATTTACTTGAAGTATCAGATAGTCATGATAGTGCATATCTGTAATTCCAGAACCTAGGAGCCTAAGGCAGGAAGATGGCTGGGAATTGAAGACCAGCTTGAGTTACATAGTGAGTTCAAGTCAGCCTGG